ACTGCCATTATAAAGCTTGGAAGAGCCAGGACATTTTAAAATATATTAATTAATAAACTCTATTGTATTCATCTGAAAGAAGGAAGTCATAGACACCTAGGATGGCTTGAGGGTGATTAAATAATGGGGTAATTTTCATTTTTGGCTGAACTATCACTTTAATCTCCTGTGCTTTTTGATTTATCTGTTAGTTTTAAAAAACGTTACTATGTTACTTAATATAACATTACAGTAATTAGTGTTTTTCACTTAAACAGCCCTCATGAAAGTTTCCTTTCTACTATTTTCTTGATGCCGTAAATAAGGTTAACACTTTCTATGCCACACACTCACAAGTGTCAGCAGGATAAAGGTGGTCTCTGAGGGCAGCTCACCTGTCAGCCACAGTAATGAGATACAGACCGCTCACCCTCAGGTCTGTGATGTAAGCTTACGGTAGTCTGAGCTAAGCTGATCTTGTTACCTGAACTCTTGTATCCTCACGGCCCAGGTTAGGACACTGTCTGTGGAAGGAGTGTTGTAAAACCACTGGCTTAATTTATTACAGTGTTGCAGTTTCAAGCATATTACTGACCCTCTGAAAGTTTGATTTAAGTGCTGCGGTCTCTGGAAGATGTCAGTGAATTCTTTCTACCAACATAACCATCTGCTTCCTCTTCCTTCATTACCTCCTACTATTTTTCTGGCCATTTTGATATTTTTACTGTACTTTTCTCCAACTTCACTACCCATTCACCACCTCTGACTCACCTGATCCACCTCACTAAACACTCTTCGCCTCCCTTCCACTGTTCCCCACTTTCCTTTTCTAGCTCCCCACCTCTCCTGCATCCCAACCTGAGGAGCTTGTGGCAAGAACATGCAGCCCCCTGCACCTGCGCTCCCCTAGCCCGCTCACCCTCCTGACCACCCTGTCGGACCCCCTCCACCAGCGCGCCCTGCCTGGGATGTGGCGCAGCCAATCTACTGACCACCAACACCACCCTTCCTCTTCCACCTCCTCATGCCACGCCTCGCTGCCACTACCTTCTCAGCCCCATGCTGCCTATTCGCCTGGACGCAGGAAACTTCCTGCCATTCCAGCAACTGCTGCAAACACCAAGTTCCCCTCAGTCATACGAATCACCCGCGCTAAGCTTCAGCAGGTGAATAGGCACTCCCATTCCGTGCTTCCCATAACTTCGACCATCTCTGCCCACCAAACATGTCTTCTCTCCAGTCTTACTGCTTCCTATGTTCTTGATATTTGTTGTACGTGACTGAAGTTTTTTTGTGCGCTCTCCTCAAAGAAACACAGGAATGCTGTTCTGTCCATTATGCATGCCCAAAAATATTTCTGTCAAGGTTGTCCTTAAAACTGTGTACTTTGTTAATAGCTCTGTTCCTGGTAAACCTAGTGAACTAGGTTTGGGTCTGCCTAGTCACATGCGTCCTAGGATAGTCTGGGATAGACTTTTTAACTGTAGCAGGTAGGCTTTCTAGTGTCTTTTGCAGTGTAATAACACTACTGTAGCCTGGTGTATTGTACAACAGGTTATCTTTTCTAGGTATATAGTAAATTTGATTGTTTTACATTTTATTACTTGCAGGTCGGTCAATAGTGTTTTTGTGCCCCTTGTACTGTTTATGACAGGGGTGTCCAATCCTGCTCCTGGAGGGCCACTGTGTTAGCTTAGCATCATGCTAACTGGAATCAGTTGTAAGTCAAGTCCTCTGCTTCACTTCAGGAGATAATTGTGTGCATTGTTTGTGCCATACAGAAGTAATGCTTATTTAGAGAGTTCCAAATCAGTCACTAGGTTTTGGAACAGGGCTTATGTGT